ATACGAAAGATTTTATGGGTCTTCAAAAATGAAGGTGCGCCTTCTTAGAATTTTGGGTTTTCCACTTCTAACAGAAGTACTTTCCGGAGAGTTAGGCAATAGTTTTTGGAAGCGCACCTCAGGCACAATCAAATCTACCTCAACAAGTCAAAAAAGTACGTCCCAAGAAAGTTATTCCCCTCTAAAATTTTTTCTTCGCCGCGTCCCGTTCTTCCAGCGCCCGGGTGATACCTGCCGCGCTCCAAGGCCGACGCGACGACGCGCAGACGCTTTCTGGCGCAACGGATTCATGTCTAGCACTCTTATTAACAAAAACAGGGGGTCGCAAAAATCCCGAAAATGTTCGAACGTGACGGTTGACCCTGCGTGTACCTAGGTCGGGAAATCAATATGATGAACGATCTAGCTCCAGAGCTGAGCAGGAGGAAACGAGCGGCATGGGGAGCGTTTAAGAACATCGAGGGAGTAGTGAAGAAGACGAAGAACATCCGGCTCCGTGCCCACCTCTTCGATTCCGCTGTCCTTCCTGCCCTAACCTACTCAGAGACTTGGACTCTGCGCAGGCAGGACGAGCATGCGGTCAGCGTTATCCAACGCGCTGTCGAGAGGACGATGCTAGGAGTAACCCTATACACGCAAGTGCAGAGGGGAATCCGGAGTTCCGAACTACGCCAACGATCGAAGATCAGGGACGCTGCCGTTTTCGCCAAGGAATCGAAGATAAGGTGGGCCGGACACGTCATGCGATTTTGCGATGACCGTTGGACCAGAGCGGTTACCGACTGGATCCCTCGGGACGTCAAACGAACACCTGGACGACCGCCGGCCCGATGGTCAGACTTCTTCACGAAAGCTCTGAACGAAAGGAATGATCGTGTCCCTCGAGCGAGGAGGGTCCACTGGACAACTCAACAGGGACGAATGGAGACGTTGCTGCTCGCTCGAAAAAATCGATCGGGGCGGTAGGTCACACAGGTGAGCCCTAGTCAATTTCTACATTAAAAAAACATCTCCGCTCGTGCAGTGTACTTGCGCACACCACGGACTACCGTAACTTCGGCCATAGAGGTAATTCGATAATCTGATTACGAAAATATAATAGCATTCATTTCTAGCGGTGCGTCACCTTGGCATACCCTTGTTTTCACCAAATTTGATGTAAACTTCTGTATAGGGGTTTTGGTGTGCCGATTACGAATGTGGTATTAATTTTTGGCGCCAGCGCCATTTGCCTATTTCTGCTCGGCTGCGCCCCCACTGGGTGGATCTTCTCACTTAGTCTCCCTCCCTAGGGCGATGGATGCAACCAGATTAGTCCCCGTCAACCGCCGGGACCTTCCTTTCCTGCGCAAGCTTTCTATCCTCCGCTATGGTCCCTTCCTCCTGTGACACCAACACCTCGTGGAAGTGACGCGTATGCAACACAATGGTGTTTCAAACAGTAGAAGGGACACAATCATGATATGACGGTAGATTTTTCGCTTCCCTTCCTCATCCTCCCCTCCTCTCTCCACTGCCCTCCAGCTGCCACTGCAGCACCATGTGGAATGAACGGAAGTGTGCTAAGCAGGTGTTTATATAGCCCTGAGAGTGTTATCACAACTATGCTACAAAACATTGATATCTCAAATCCTGTAAGCTACCCGATTTGTTAGCGGTTTGTTTATCCCATGAGCTTCCTTCTCACTCACTTCATTTTGCGGACGGACACACATACATACATACACACACACACACATACAGATACACAAACCGACACACAAAGTTAGCGCTTTATAAAATAGAAGGATTATATTTGTGCAATTGGTGTTTTTTATTGTTTGAGTGATAATTTTAGCAAAGATTTTCTGGAATGCCACTAAGTACTGAAGTGAATACAGTGCGTTTCAAAAGTATGTGCACACCCTCAAAATTCACGTTTGAAAGGGAACCATGAGGTTTCGTGCTATGAAATCCTTCTCAATCGATTTCTCGTAGTCGATAACCTATCAATGGAAGCAAAGCAGATAATATCGCCTCACTTTCGGAAAAAAAATTTTGGATGAAATTTTTTTCTTTGTTTCAAAAGTATGTGCACACTTGAAGAAGATCAGATTTTGGCGCCGAATTTTCCACCGATTTCAATCCGACTTTGCTGTTTTCATTTCGTCATCATGTCAATTCGCGCCATACTTCTTCCTGAAGATGAGCAAGCTCAGATCAAGGTTCTGCATGATAATGAACGTTCCAATCTAGAAATCGCACGATAACTTGGTCGTTCTCCTTAATGCATTCGAAGATTTATCTGGCACCCTGATAATTATACTCAGCACACACTCCGCTCCATCCACGATCCTTGACTGCTCAGAACAACAAAAGAGTAGCCACATCCTGTCGGATTCTTCATGACAGTCCGAGCTCAGATTTTTATTCCAGCCTCGAAAATGACCACTAAGCCCCTCATCCGCTCAAATGAATACACCACTCGACAGACGCTGAGAAAGGCTACTCACTTCAAGGCCCAGCACAAGTTAGCCACATTGGAGTCTGCTCGTACAGACATGGCAACATAGGATAGGACACCGGGCGAAGACACGGTTTTTCGAGAATTTCCTATTTTCAAAACAAGCAACTTTTTATGGACTTTCTCTCCTCAGGTAATCTTAACTCATGGAAGAGAGTTCGATCTTGACGGGCCGGGTGGATTTTGCTACTACTGGAGAGGCTTGGCCGTGAGTCGCTCGTGCTCTCGAGAAGGAATTTCGGAAGAGGCCCGTTGATGGGTCTGCGGCGGTTTCGCAATCAGCGGAAATTCAGAAGTTGCCGTTCCATTATTGCGTATGAACTGTAAAGAATACCAAGCAGTGCTCCAATGTCACCTGTTGCCCTTCCTTAGCGAAGCGGAGCGAAAATTGCATTTTTAGCAACAGGACCACGTGTCTTTCGATGCTTCGCAATCTACCAAAGAATGGCCTTAACCAAATGGTGCTGAAGCGATAGATTGGCTTGTGTGTCCTCCTTACTGCAACCCTATAGGGAGCCCTTGATCAAGGCGTTAACTTTAGCAACCGGCAGTATAATACCGCGGATGAACTGAAGGCGGCGGTAGAGGCTATTTGGGCCGACAGCGACGAAACAGCTATGCCAAACGTGGTTCAGATTATGCCGGACAGGATGTTTGAGCTAATTAGAAACTCTGGAGGCCCCACTGATTTCTAATCTCAGCTATGTTTTTGTCTTTTGTTAAGTGTGCACATACTTTTGAAACAAAGAAAAAAATTTCATCCAAAATTTTTTTTCGAAAGTGAAGCGATATTATCTGCTTTGCTTCCATTGATAGGTTATCGACTACGAGAAATCGATTGAGAAGGATTTCATAGCACGAAACCTCATGGTTCCCTTTCAAACGTGAATTTTGAGGGTGTGCACATACTTTTGAAACGCACTGTATAGCATTAGAGGAGGATAGACAAAAGTGTATGATGAAGTACAAAGACCTTAGGAATAAGTCGCACAAGCGCAAGAAAAAGGGATGACTTGGGTGGGACGCGTTACCGCGTCACAATGTCCCACGAGGTGCGCAGGGTGGGACGCGTTACCGCGTCACGCTGTCGTCAACGTGTTAATATTTTGAAAGCTAAAAACGTGACTGGAGCGAACGGGTCCGATGCGCGCGGTAGTGCGCTGAGCTAAATTGACATGAGAGTACTGCTTCATTCAAATCAAAGTGTTCTTGGATTGGCTCTTGTAGTTTCACGAAGATCCAGGTACTTTTCACAATTTGTTAACGCACTGATGACAATGTGATCTTTCGCGAGTCTCGCGCGTGGGACCGCGCGCATTTCTCTTGGCGGCTCGACTTGGGGACTCTTGTGGTAAACCACGACTTTCTTATTTAACAGACGATAGTTAACTTCTCCTTTAGCACTATATCGTTAAAGTAGTCACTCCTCACCCCCTAGTGATGTTTGATTTTGAATAGGGGACAATCTGTTAGAGATACTGTAACATTTAGATGGCGCATACCGTATATAAACGAACAGTGCGTCCTAGTTCGGTGTAAATATGGGTTGTCAGAAAAGTAGTGGAACGCGCATTTTTTGGTACTGGCACCGAGTTGATGCCACGCGCAGCTCCGAAAAAGTGGATGCCACTCACATGCTTACCACCGCCGATTACTCCTGTTCGCAAGTTCGCAGCGAAATTGGTGGCAAAAAGCAGTGGCCCCAACTGGCGCACCAACGTTGCTATAGGTACTACGGACCTGTCGATCGAGATTTGATTATTAGGAGCCATGAAACTCGCGCTACTGACAATAAGTTCTTTGTGCTGCATCCCCACATCGAGCTGTATCGTCCCGCGTGGCGAAAAAGTGTGCCCACACATGGAGCCGCAGATATTGGATTAAGAATGCTTGGGTGATAAATATAGAGGAAAGTTACCTCATTCTCCGCATTTGCCTTTGATGGGAAGTTTTATTGATGATGTAAAGTTGATAGATCCGTAAATATGAATCGTTATTCGGTGCTGTGTTAAAGCAGGGATAGCCGAGTGGTTAAGAGGGTTAGCTCATTTCGATCCCTGCCGAGGCCAACCACATGCTTTGCAAATTGCAAGAATGATTCTAGTACCAGCGTCAGGCCCCGGCTGATGAACACCCCAGTCACACCAAACATGTCTGAAAGTCGCAAAAGAATCAGTGTTAATGCTAGGACGTCACCCGGAAGTGGCGCGCAGAACCCCCGCCCGAGTTCTGTGGTCAGTATGCGAGGGCTACCGAGGAGTGAACGGCCTCGGCCAAAGAAGCTAGTTCGAATTGGGACTCTGAACGTAGGATCGCTAACTGGGAAAGTCCCGAGAGGTTGCTGACCTGATGACGCGCAGGAATATCCAAGGTCCATGCCTTTCAGGAGACGCGATGGAAAGATGCTAAGGCCAGGGAAATAGGGGAATAGGTGTCGCTGTTCAATGGGAGAAGAGAGACACCAGGCGTTAATATAGCGGATGCGGAGCGGAGTCACACAAGGACTATGTCTCCGCTGTGAACAGGATCAGCGATCGGATCATGGCTGTGAGGATAGACACGAAGAAGCTGGCCATGGCCCTCGATCTGACAATCTGCAGCACGTGCTTCGCGAAAAGGGAGACGCAGAAAGTAACGTACAGCAGTGGAGGAAGGCAAACGGAAATCGACCTTGTGCTGGTAAGAAGATCATCTCTCAAAACTGTGAAGGATATTAAAGTAAGTCCTCGGCGAAGAACTAGCTCCGCACAGGTTTCTCTTGGCAGACATCAAAGCCTCCAAAAGAGGGGTAGGGTAAAAACTAGGCGGAGAATTCGGTGGTGAAAGCTGCACCGATCGGAGAAGGAAAGCCCCTCAAAACGAGAGGGTACTGGAAGCTGGCCTCCCGGATCCACAAGGACCAGTTCAGCTGACATGGAGCAATGCCGCTAAGGTTATCCTGCGATGCGCCAAGGAGGTACTGGGCGAGACGCGAGGTGGAATCAGAGGAGACAAGGCAGCGTGGTTCTGGAACGAGGAGGTCCAGCGAGTCGTGAAGCAGAAGAAGGAAGCATACAAGCGCTGGCAGAAGACCGGAGCCCGAGGACCTCGCTGCCTACAAGAGTTGCAAGAGGCCAAAGAACACAGAGATGGACGCCTTGTACGAGAAGCTGGAGAGCCAAAATGCGGAGAAGTTCGTCTACAGACTGGCTAAAGCTCGGCACCGAGCTACCCAAGGATATCACGGTGTGAAGAGTGTAAAGAACAACAACGGCACCATCCTGAGGAAGCCAGCTGAAGTCAAGAGGAGGTGGGAAGAGTACTACAGTGCACTACTGAACGAGGAGTTCCCTCACAAAACAACTCGCAAGCAGAGGCAACGGCTGGCCCATCTCACTGTGGACAGAGGATGAGGTTCGTCGAGAAGTAGGAAGATGAAGGTTGGGAAGGCGGTTGGTCCAGATGGGGTGCCAATCGAGGCATGGAAGGCGCTCGGAGAGTACGGGATAAGATGGCTCACCCGATTCCTGAACAACGGTAACTGCGGAAGGAAGGATGCCGGATGCCTGGAGAACAAGTACTATCGTCCCCATCTTCAAGCAGAAGGGTGACGCGATGGACTGCTCCAACTACCGCGGATCAAGTTGACTGCGCATACCATGAAGTTGTACGAGCGCCTGGTCGACTCGAAACTGCGGGAGCTGGTCCCGATCTCCCAGGAACAGTTCGGGTTCATGCCGAAAGATCTACAACGGATGCCATCTTCATCGCCAGGCAAGTGATGGAGAAGTATCGAGAAAAGCGCCGACCCTGCTACCTAGCCTTCCTCGACCTGGAAAAGGCGTTCGACCGGCTACCGCGAGCAGTGCTATGGAGGTCGCTCAGGGAACGAAACGTGCCAGAACACCTGATCTCTCTGGTGAAGGACATGTACGAAGGAGCAAAGGCAGCTATACGCACCCCACACGGCCTAACGAAGGAGGTGGACATTGGGGTGCACCAAGGGTCAGCTCTGAGCCCCTTCCTCTTCCTCCTAACACTAGATGCCATGGTGAAGGGCCTCATGGAAGGACCACTGAAGACCATCCTCTACGCTGACGACATCGCCCTGATAGCGGATAGCAGAGAAGAACTTCAGGCCAAGGTGCAGAAATGGCAGAAGTCCTGGCAGAAGGTGGGCTCCGGCTGAATGTCAAGAAGACCAAGTTCCTGAGCTCTGAAGAGGGTGCAGAGCCGATCGTGGACGGCCATGGTGAAGCATCGAAAGAGTGGAGGACTTCCGATACCTTGGGAGCGATCTGGCAGCCGACGGAAGTGTGGATCAGGCAGTGAAGGCACGAATCAACGCGGCATGGATGGAATCCACTGGAATCCTCTGCGATCGAAGGTGCTCCAGAACGCTCAAAGGGAAGGTGTACCGGACAGTGGTAAGGCCTGCGATGCTATACGGCAGCGAGTGCTGGCCCCTGAACAAGGCAGCTTCACTCCGCTGAGATGAGGATGCTGAGATGGGCCTGCGGCTGGACGCGACAGCTGAAGGAGAGGGAACAACGACTGCGATGGTATGGGCATGTGCTAAGGAGGCCACAGGATCATCCGATAAGAACAGCGATGGACTTCGAAGCGCAAGGCAAGCGACCGCGAGGAGCCCCAAAGAAGAGGTGGAGAGACGTCATCAAGAAGGACCTAAGTGAAGTCATGGCCACAGCAGAAGATGCCCTGGACAGAGCAAAGTGGCGACGACTGACAAAGACAGCGGACCCTGCGACTGCGCGGGACTAACGCTAAGAAGAAGATTCTGTGCCGTGTTGTCGTTTAGAAAAAGATTCTGAATGGCAGAGATACTCACCATCTGCCCAAATTGACTGCTTTGAAGTCTGTACATCGTTCTCCGAGCTCATCTTATACCAAGGCAGACAACCAGGACTCACCCTGAAGATTAACTAGTAGTACCATACTTTAGATTGTTGCAGATCGCTTGCACTCTGGCATGCCAAAGAATTGAAGTGGTGTGGATTTTGAGCACGAACACGAAAGTGTTCGTGTTCAAGATCCACACCAAGAAAGCCAAATGGGCCGACAGTAAGGAAAAAGATTTGAAGGACGAATTCACGATGAAAAAGCAACCCATTTCAAATTAACCTAGGGATGGTGAGTGGTACACGAAAGAAGGAAGAACCATGAGAAACGGCCCAAATGGGACCCCTTCCTTGCCCGTTGATTTGAGCATTGATGCGACTCTCATCGCTGTGCCCTCTTCAACACTACGCTCTCTCAGCTATCTAATCACTCGCCACGTATAGACCTGCGGCGAGTGATTATCGGTGGGCGGACCCGCCGACCGCGCCAACAATGAGCCAATAATAGGTCGCCGAAGTCAAATCTTTCGGTGCCAATTGCGCGTGAGTCCGCACCCTCAAGGGATCTGCCAGACTCTCATCTTGGTAAATTACTCGTTCTTCGACCTTCATTCTTATCGTGAATCCCGCCTTTAAGGGCTTACTTACTCAGTAATACGGTTCTCAACAGCAATGAGAGACTGAGAAGGAGAGGAGATTATGGGGTGGGAGAGCGCCTCGCACGACCACTGTTTGGATTGTGCCTTTTAAGCGAGGATTGAAGATAGTGAGTGCATTAGTGAGGTAGCAGTGTTATTTTTCGACGCTGATCTCGAATCTGCTTTCTAAATCTGCTAGCATCGATTCTTAGAACGGACCGGCACGCTTCATGAGCAAAACAGAGCAGAAGTAGTGGTCCGCGCTCACGAGCGAGTGGACGTTGAATCGCTTCCCTGGCCGGTGATCTGACTATCTGGCTACAAATTTATCTCCGAAATAGGAATATCACACCTGTCTGCTGCAAAACGTCTGCCAAGAGTTCTGCGGGCTCCATGTGCAGCAAGTAGCGCCCAAACATATTAGGAACTCCTCGCAGTTTTTTTTGTACGGGCACTGAATAAGGCAAAAGGCAGAACCCCCATGGGATCGATCCTACGACGCTTATCGCGTCGAGAACCGTACGCTGCTTCTTATTTTGGCTTCAACAACTCCGTTCAGCAAACGATTCCTCTAGCATCTCTGCAACGTTTGGGAGAGCAGGGGTCCAAAATATCCTTTTCGGCGGCTGAGGCCCGAGGCGCGCCCGTTGCAGCGCACTTCTCTGCTCCGCTAATCCCTGCGCTCCGCCCACCAGTGTGCTGCTACTGTGATGAGTTAAAGGAGGATTCCACGATAACAACGATGGTCAATGGAGGGGAAATTAGTCTAGTGGGAGACAGGTGGATTACCTAATGCGCAATTGGCAGCGAAAAATTGGACCTCGGCAGTCTCGTATGGCTCACTCTTGCCGCAGTAGGCGCGGTGCGCCCGCCAACACATAGCAGAGAAGAGCGTTACCGTTTGAAGAGGCAGAGAGCTTAGCGATGAGATATCGCATCATGCGGATATCAACAAGCAAATGGCCTGGTGTCCATTTTTCTTTCCGAGCCCGTTTCATTTTTGGTTTTTCCTTCTTTCTTTTATCACTGACCATCCTTTCCTTAATTCGAGATTGGTTGCCTTTCCAGCACCAATTCCGTCCTCAACACGTGAAAATGACCCTTTGCTGGGTTGCTGGCTCGTCCATTGTCGGAGGTTAATTGCAAACATGGGAACCCTTTTTCGCGAGTTCATTTCGGATTTTTACTAGCCACTGACACATTATTTCGCATTCCTCTTCCACTCCATCCATCCAGTCTCCCTCGCTTCAATGACGCACCACAGTATGTAAGAAACCCGGCCACCACCGGAACCCCTCCCCTGCGTAGGCTCTGTGATCCATGATCCATCTCCTTATCCTGCCCTCCTCCTTCCGTTGCTCTCCAGCTGTCACTGCGGAACCTTGTGGAATGGTAAGTGTTCTAAGGAAGGTGTCTATATATTTCATTAGCTGCCTTATCTCTCACTTCATTTTGCGGACGGACAGAACGACATACTCCTAGACAACCCGACACACTAAACTTGTGGTTTGTATAATGAAGTGAAACAAATAAGAAATAACGCTCAATGATACGCTTACAGTTCTGCCGTCATGTAGAACCATGATTCAGCATCACCCTTTTCACGTGCTGGCGCTCTCTTGTGTGCATCCAAACTCCAATATGGAAGCGTATAGATATCCGGGGTACCATATCTAAGTTTTGGTATAGCATAAATGCCGACGAATGAAATATTTTCAGACTCACTTTATTTTTTTACCCATCTTCACAGTGTCTCCGTAGTCGATTAAGAATATTCTGGCGAATGCTGGTCCTGTTCCAATGCAAAAATTCGTGAGTTTCACATCACGATGAATGTACTTGAGAGAATGCAGGAACTGAACTTCGGTAAATAAGCGTGGATGGAAAAGTGGGTGATAAATGTTGGAAACATTTTCTGACAGCCTTGTGCAACTGTCACTTTTGACACTAAAACTTTTCATAACTCACAGATCCACGCGAATTACGAACCTTCTCAAAGAAACTTCCCTACAGAGATGGGGGGGGGGGCAAAAAAGGACAATTTGCCTATATCAGCAAACTTTTCATTGCAAAGGGCAAAGCGGCTGATGTGAGTGGTACAGCAAATTTTCTTGTGGGTCAAAGCTCAGACCTCGGAGAGCGTGTGTTGGTGATATCACTTTGGCCTGATGTCACGACCACATAAAGGCCGACAGTAAAGAAAAAAGGAAAAGAATCCGTCGAAAACGCTTAGGTTGAGGGCTCACTCACCTTCCTAATCGGCTGTGCTAAGGAATGAGAGACTAAGCGCGGAGAGGAGAGTATGAGGCGAGAGAGCGCTACAGATGAGAGAGCGCCAGACAACAGCCTGATAAGAGAAAAAAAGCTGCAGCAGCTTACTTTGCAAGGCCCAAGCGCTCTTGTCGGTTGGTTTCCGTGCACGGGAACGCCACATTTGTGATTGTAGGGTCTATACTACAGACCGAAGAAGCGTTCACACGATCTCTGCCTGGTTGTGCTTTTGAAGGCAAGATTCAGGATTCAATTATGAGGTGATTCCACTCAAATGTGAAAGTAGGGGTGGAGGTGGACCGCCAGTGGAGAAAAAAGAAAAAAAATCGTGAAATACACATGGGAATCACGAGCCTTTTGCTCGTGAATCACGACAAATGGGAATCACGAGCCCCTACCGAGAAGTTCAAAAGGCCGGCAGGGAGATGAGAGATAATGTGAGCGCGGAGAGCGCTAGAGAAGTACGAGTAGAGAGAGCATAGCAGATCAACATTAGCGACGCAGACAAGATATCGAGCGGTGGGCGGAGCGTGTCGCAACAGGTGGAGCGTGTCAAAGTTCTTAGCGCCTAGCGTCTAAATAACGCTTTTCGAAGTAGGGAAGTGACGCGACCTCTACACTTGCGTACCTAGCGCTTCTAGCCACCGTAAAGGCTCATTAAGTGGGTCTGAGCCCGAACTTTGCCTTTAATTGAAAGTGGGTACGGTAGTGAGCCACACCAGATAGGCGGGATATCCGAATATTCCTGTTGAAAAATAAGTTTTTGCTTAGAAATATCGGAGAGGTGGGTAACCACGATTTAATGGATGATGTAGTGGAGGTTTACAGGGTTTTCCACCCCAATTCGTAAACTTTGCATTCCATTTCGTAAACGTTGCAAGCAATTTCGTCAACGTTTCAGCTATTTTCGTAAACGTTTCAGCCCATTTCGTAAACGTTGCAACCAATTTCGTCAAAGCAGCAGATATTTTCGTAAACGTTGCAGCCCATTTCGTAAACGTTGCAACCAATTTCGTCAAAGCAGCAGATATTTTCGTAAACGTTGCAGCCCATTTCGTATTTCTTCCAGCCCATTTCGTAAACGTTGCAACCAATTTCGTCATTCTAAACCCCAATTCGTCACTTTTGCAAGCAATTTCGTAAACATTGCAATCAATTTCGTAAATTTCGTAGTGTGCGAATTGGTGTAATATTTTATGTATTTGGGCGCAATGTGGCTCGGGGGCCAGTCGCCGCCGCGGCGCGTGCGGCAGCACGAAATTCGTGAGCCAGGGGGAATGAAGCCAATTCAGGGGGGGTCGGGGTGAGGGCAGTCACTTACATGCGTGAGAAGCTGGAATGTTCGAGTTTACACTACTTCGCTAAGCCGCGGCGGCGACTGCCCCCCCCCTCCCGAGCCACATTGCGCCTGTATTTGTAATGTGTGACAATTTATAGAGCACAACTACAATCAGCTAATCACTTCGTTGGCAGAAAACGTCACAATGGGCAATGAGAACTGCTTACGCACCTCAGAATCCCTCTTCTCCTCTGATTTATTCCTAAAACTGGGTTTCGGTGAATCTGACGCAGCGATACGGGCTGCCCCCTCCCCGCCCCTGGAGCAACATGCGCCCCAGAAACTATCACATTCTGTGTAACCGTCGTCTTAGGTGTTTGCTCTGCATTGGGGCGGGAAACAAAGATTTTTCGTTCCATTTGGCATACTATGTACCACCATTGCATACAATGTTGGTGTGAATAGTAGTCGTGTTACTTGTAACACTTCAGTAGTAAGTACATATTTTTGTCGAGAGTCCATTTCAAAAGTAACTCGGGGAGGGGGAGGGGGCACGCGATAGCGCAGCGTTGTTCTCGCCTGCTCCTCCAAGTCAGCGATGGCTGGTTGACGGGCTACTTTAACGCGGACCTTAAGCCGTCTCAATCCGAGGCTCTCGTCTGCGCTCTCTCGCCTTATAAGCGGCTGAAGACCAATTTTTAAATTTAGCCACCTAATGGGCTCACCCACCCTGGAGTTCCTCCCCCTACAAGGCTTAGTCTTATGGCTCTCACTTCCTTCCTTGGGATCTGGAGCCGAGCCAGGAGCTGTTCACCAATTGTTTGTGCTCTCCGCCATTCGTGGCGACCATAGAAAGAAATTCAAGTAGTCCGTAATCCGCGATGGCGCGTATTTCGGAACTGCCGACATGGCGAAAGAGTCCTCAAAAGTTATTCTTAAGTGGTGTCTAAAAAGTATGCGGGCGAAACTCGGGTTCGGGGGGGGGGCACGCGATGGCGCGGCGCTCTGTTCGTCTGCTCCACCAAGGCTTAGTCCACTGGGACAGTTACTCTTTAACCATCACGTGGCAGTTTCAAAATACGCGCCATTGACTATCGACAAAAATATGTACTTACTACTGAAGTATGCAATGGTGGTACATACATATATGTAGCCAAATGGACCGAAAAATCTTTGTTTCCCGCCCCAATGCAGAGCAAACACCTAAGACGACGGTTACACAGAATGTGATAGTTTTCTGGGGCGCATGTTGCTCCAGGGGCGGGGAGGGGGGCAGCCCGTATCGCTGCGTCAGATTCACCGAAACCCAGTTTTAGGAATAAATCAGAGGAGAAGAGGGATTCTGAGGTGCGTAAGCAGTTCTCATTGCCCATTGTGACGTTTTCTGCCAACGAAGTGATTAGCTGATTGTAGTTGTGCTCTATAAATTGTCACACATTACAAATACAGGCGCAATGTGGCTCGGGGGAGGGGCAGTCGCCGCCGCGGCTTAGCGAAGTAGTGTAAACTCGAACATTCCAGCTTCTCACGCATGTTAAGTGACTGCCCTCACCCCGACCTTCTTCTTCTTCTTCTTCTCCCTAGCGTTAGTCCCGCGCAGTCGCAGGGTCCGCTGTTTTGTCAGTCGTCGCCACTTTGCTCTGTCCAGGGCATCTTCATCGTGGCCGTGACCTCACCTAGGTCCTTCTTGATTACGTCTTTCCACCTTTTCTTCGGGGCTCCTCGCGGTCGCTTGCCTTGTACTTCGAAGTCCATCGCTGTTCTTATCGGATGGTCCTGTGGCCTCCTTAGCACATGCCCATACCATCGCAGACGCTGTTCCTCGTACCTTTAGCTGGACAGGGGCAGTCTGCATGACCGCTCTGACGTCCTCGTTTCCAGCCGCGTCCAGCCGGAGGCCCATCTTACGAGGAATGCTCAATTGGTCAGTCCGGCCATTTGTAATGAGGTGTAGTCCGCTGTACTCGTCTTGCGACGCTGAGCTCAAATCCGTTCTCGGTATCTGCGGAACGATTCTCTGAAGTGTGGCTTTCTCACTACTCCATCCCGCTTGGCCACGCTCACGTGAGCAGTGAGGAGTTTCTTGATTTGTGGGCCTGGTGGTGTAGTGGATAGCGCGTTTGCTTCATATTGGTGAGGTCAGATGTTCAAATCCTTGGGCATTGAAGATTTTTGCATTTTTTCAGGCTCCTCATACGAACCCAAAATGTGTTTATATTTGATTATTTTGTTGATTTGCTTCTCCCTTTTACATCTGTTTTGTTTTGATCATTTTGTGAGGGACTATCATATTTGCTCGTATAGCTGGAATAACTTTTCGAAATATTGTTAATTTAAGAGTCTTCTGTGTGTCAAAGTTCATCTTAACGAAGAACTGAAAAAAATGAGCACGAGAAGGAGATTCCAGAGTCTGCCTCTCCAGATGTAAAAGGGGGACGCAAATCGACAAAATATCCAAATATAAACACATTTTGGGTTCGTATGAGGAGCCCTGAAAAAATGCAAAAGTTTGCCATGCGCAAGGATTTGAACATCTGACCTCACCAATATGAAGCAAACGTGCTATCCACTGCACCACCAGTCCCACATCCAGAACTCCTCACCGGCTCAACGTGAGCGTGGCAAGGATGTAGAGGGCGCCATAGTGAGAAAGCCACAGTGAGAAGAATCCCTCGTAACTTCTTTCAGAGAATCGTTCCGCAGATACCGAGAACGGATTTGAGCTCAGCGTCGCAAGACGAGTACAGCGGACTACACCTCATTACAAATGGCCGGACTGACCAATTGAGCATTCCTCGTCAGCAACTCATTTCGGCAGAGTGAAGCTGCCTTTCGTGGTTCTTGTTCAGGGGCCAGCACTCGCTGCCGTAGAGCATCGCAGGCCTTACCACTGTCCGGTACACCTTCCCTTTGAGCGCTCTGGAGCACCTTCGATCGCAGAGGATCCCAGTGGACTCCCTCCATTTCATCCATGCAGCGTTGACCCGAGCCTTCACCGCCTGATCCACACTACCGTCGGCTGCCAGATCGCTCCCAGGTATCGGAAGTCCTCCACTCCTTTCGATGGTCTCACCATGGCCGTCCACGATCGGCTCTGCACCCTCTTCGGAGCTCAGGAACTTGGTCTTCTTGACATTCAGCCGTAGCCCACCTTCTGCCAGGACTTTCTGCCATTTCTGCACCTTGGCTTGAAGTTCCTCTCTGCTATCCGCTATCAGGGCGATGTCGTCAGCGTAGAGGATGGTCTTCAGTGGTCCTTCCATGAGCCCCTTCACCAGGACATCTAGTGTTAGGAGGAAGAGGAAC